TATTAAAAAGATACTCTAGGAGCCGGGCATGGTGGCACATGCCTGTAATTCCAGCACAAGAGAGGCTGAGGCAGGAGGATCGCTGTGAGTTCAAGACCAGCCTGGGCTACATAGTAAGTTCCAGGTCAGTCTCAACTACATAGTGAGACCCTGTCTCAACACCCCCCAAAAGATACTCCAGGTAGACCAGTCAACTAAAATTTAAGTTTAATTGATCAGTGAACTTACTTTTATTGATGCTATTACTATGTATTTATAAGAAACTTTCAAATAGATCACCATAGTTTAAACATCTGTACAAACTTCACTTAATTCTAATCTTGTGTAGACAGAACAGCATCACTCGTAAAAGATGAGAAACATGAGGCTAGTCACATGAGCTACTGAGGAAGCTTAGATTTTAATTAAAGCTCTTCACCTCTAAGCAATGTCACCATGCTATTCTCTCTTCAAACTCAAGTATTTATATCCCTTTTACTTGCTCACAGAATAAGCACAATCAGTATAAGCTCTGATTTTTCCACATTACAAATACCAGGAGCCTGGTCATTTCACGAGATGGGTACCAGATGAAGAAATCAAGAGTTAAGAAATGGAAGTTGCTCAATATATCTGAAACAATACAGCTAAAAAATGCCAAAACCAAAACACAAATTTAGGTTTGACCTCTATATTTCCACAATTAGCCACTTTCTGGAGGTGCTGCTTACTTTCAGCCCCTCCCTTCCAATATGAGCATCCAGGTTCTGAAATTTCTTCTTTTTTTTAATGTGTGGTATGTAAGCTGGGCCTGATAGCATCTGGTTCTGTCTAACATTCTCTTCTTAGATGAATCTGATTCCACACTCTTCCAAAGCTGACACTTTCTCACATTCATTAAACCAAGAATCTGAAGACTAAGAGTTCTGTCGCTAATCTATCCATCACTAATAAGTTAGGAGACCTTCAGAGGGAAAATCTTCAAATCAGGGAAGATAGACTAAGTATCTACCTTAAGTAGGGGTAGGTGCAATTTTCTGAACCAAAATTTCCAGCAAGATTGGTAATATTTTACTTAAGGTGAATTTTTAAATCTCAAATACATTCATATTCATAATGTACAATCAAAATATAAGCTAAAATTGGGCTGGGGATTTAGCTAAGTGGTGCCGTGCCTGCCTTGCAAGAGCAAGGTCCTGAATTTGATCCCCACTACTGAAAAAGAAATATATAAGCTAAAATAAAATCAGCAAGTCAATAAAATGTCTTCCTCCTGTGACTATACTAAGTGAAATTTGGGCCAGGGATTTAGCTCAGTGATTCTGCCACCTGCCTCGCAAGCGCAACGACCCAAGTTCAATCCCCGGTACCAAACAAACAAACAAAAAAACTCTAAGTGTAATTCAACAGTCACAGGCTTTATAAAGAGAAACTGCCAAATATATGTCCTGAGTGGTTCTTCTGTCTGGTTCTAAACACATGGGTCTCATTTAGAGAATCGTTCTACCTCTAAAAATGGCTAATCACTATTTTCACACAAAGAAGTAAAATTCAGTTTGTCAAAATGAACTGTCAATTAAAATGTGCCTACATACAGAAAATACAAAATAATTCAGGCTCTATGCAGAGGACTGCAATACTGATTGTGCCCAAAGCAGGCTGTGAAGTGTTAACCCCACAAGTGGATTTTTTACAGAAGTGAGTATGGCTGAAGCTTACTTGCTGAGGTCAGAGTAACTGGCACCCAAATTCTGTTCCCACAACCAAAACCTTCAGGCTAGAAGGACAATATTCCAATTACAATCATGTGTTTTGTCTATTCTGCTCCTAATTTGAGAATTCTTTGTCTTGTCCTTTATGAGCCTTGTTTACATTAATGTCCATAGAAACCACACATCACCTTTACCCCAATTGATTGCCAATAAAAGTCAAGTACGTAGGACTGTCCTGGGCCTTTGTTGGTTGCACTGGCATTGGTCGTCCTGGCACCCCACTTTCTCTCTCTTAGTTCTGTGTCCTAGTGTATTCTTCTTCTCAGGCCTGCATTGCACACTGGGCAGGTGAGTAGTGGAGCCTGACTACAAGGGTCTCTTACAGCTCTACCAAGTACAATGCCTCTTTACACTGCCAAGTTTAAATAAGTAATAAAGCAAGGAATTGAATATATTTTGAGAGGACTAGAAAAGGGGTGAACCTCACTGTTTTCAGTGAAAAGTAGGATCTAAATAGTTATTTAGTAAATTTAAAATGTATATAATCACACCTCAATTTCATACTAATTGACAAGGTGTGATAAAGGCAGGCAGCTTATAAGGGAAAAAAATTAGTAAAGGGGTTGAAATATCCTATGTCAAATGATTTCACTAAGTATCAAAATGACAGACTATACAATGTGGCTATTCTTAACTTTGTACAAACCCCATCAGGAATTTCACAAAACAAACTCAACTCAGAAACATCTATAAATTATTGTCAATAACTTCAAAGGGATAGAGATCCTCTTCCCCAAGAAGTCTATTCATGGGCTCCTTGGTAACAATTCTAGAAGTGGAAGGAGCTCTGGACAGCCTCTTGGCCTGGCTTTTATTTTTGTCCCCAATCCTGTAACCTAATTAATCCAATTACTTTGTCTCTCTGGATCTGTTTCCTCATTTTATAAAGATGATCTTTCTCCTCTGCAAAGCTGAGTAATATTCTGTTTTGTGTATATAAACCTTGTTTATCTGTTATTTACATGTAAGTTATTTCCATCTTCTGGATGTGAGCTTTGTCTTTTCAACTGACAGTAACTATGTATGTATGGGCTATACTGTGATGTTCTGAGTAGTGATAAATTGTAGAAAAATTAAATCAAGCTACTTCACATTTATTGTCTCATCTACTTATTTTTTTGTGATTAGAACATTTAAAGTTTACTTTTAGCAATTTTGAAATACACATTATTATTCTGACATATGCTACAACATAGATGAACCTTGACAACATTAAGCTATATTAAAAAGTGAGGCACAGAAGGACAAATATTACATGATTCTTATGTGAGGTACCTAGAACACATTCTTAAGAGAAGAAAGTAGACTAGAAGTTACTAGGGGCTAAGGAAAGAGACTGAATAGGAGATCAGTACCTGGTAGGTACAAAATTTCTGCTTGGGTTATAAAACAGTTCTGGAAATGGATAATGAACTGTGAATTATATACCTAAAAGAAATTTTATGTATGTATGTAATAGTATGTGACACATGCAAGTAGGCAAAAAAACCACACCTTTCCTGATGGATTGTGGTTGAAATTCTAGAAGTCCACTATTATCACAGCAATACTGACAGAATGAATAGAACTTGCTCCTTATCACTTTTTAATTGCTCAGAACAGTTAACAGTCTAGAATTCAAGTTAAGGGCTGGATATGCAAGGTACTCTTACTAGCCCATCAAAGTCCTGCACTTGGAGGTTTCTCCCATTAGTTTTCCCTTATTGTTCTTCCTTTATAAAGAAGTGGGCTTTCCACATGTAACAGAAATATTTCTTTAAAGGCAGAAAGAAAAAAAAAAAAAAAAACAACTCCAAGAAAATACTCCAGCTTTCTTAAAACTGTGTGCTGCGATAAGTCTTGTGACATCCCTTTCCAAGCATACAATGAAGCTGTGGTAATCACTTTATTTCCCCATTTGGATGGCAGTCTTTAATTTAACCAACTCTGCTTCCCAGCAGCTATCCGTGCTATGAAATCCAATTTAGAGGAACTCTATTTAAACTTCACAATAGTTACAGTGAGTTAATTCAACTTCTGGAACAAGACCTCCTTTCCCAAGACCAGCAGAATGAATACAAGCACTGACCAGATGGGAAGTACAGAGGAGTGGAATATATCGCTCTCTGGAATACTTTCATAGAGGAGCTCAGGTATCCACATGCTCATTTGAGATGAAGAATACCCCTCCTACCACCCCTGTATCTCTAGCACCCATCAGAGAGGTGTCTGCAAAGAACATTCTGTCTGACTGGACTGGGAAAACTACAAACTTAGCACATCAAGAAGAAAAAAACCTCTATATAAATGTAAGTAGCACTACATTCTAATATCTCTTTAGCGAACTTCTTCATTACTTTGCATACATCTAAAAATGATAAAACATAAAATACAAGTCAATTAAATGTGGCATGAGCAAAATATCTTAGAATCTGGGAATACTGCTTCAGTTTATAAGTGGTCCTAAATCAGTAGAGAACACAGATTCAGGGAGATTATTCTTGCTCAGATAATGTGGTGGAAAAGATGATGACCATAAAATCAATAGAAAATATACTATAAACCACAGAAGCTATTCTTGAAACTTCTGCCTTTTATAAATATTCCAAAGAAAAGTGTTAGCAGTTGTACTGCATTTCTCCATTTATAAAAAGAAAAAGGAACTCTTCAAATATTCCAACAACCTCCCTCCAAAGTCCTCAAAGAGTCAGCATGCATACCAACTGAACCCAAAGACAAACAGGATTTCCTACTGCCTCTTTCCAAAACAATTCAGTCTCTTACTGATTGATTACTGCTCTTGATTGTATTCACAGAAAGTATATTCCAATGAAAACTCAATCATTTGTCACGTTTTCTTTATGCAATTGTAATATGAAAATAATGGTTTCCAATTAAGACCTCCTTCAAGTCTTTTAAACATCAGAAAAAATAAATGGCAGAGGAAAACTGTTTCCTCTTGAATGAAACCAGGAAAAAAATGTATATACACTACAGATGAGACTCATTTTGAATTTTCAGTAAGAAGAAACAGTGAAAATAGCGAGGCAGGGGAGAGAAAATGATTAATCTGACTTACTTTTCTTTCAGATAATGAAGCGGTTACTAGCAGAAACAAGCTTATGTACCAACCTCCAAGAGAAGATAAAAGGTTCGGAGCCAAAGTTTTAATTTGTGGCAAATTCACAGATGCCAAGTGGGTGGGACTACTATGAATAAGGGGGAGGGGCTGGCAACAAGAGGAAGGAAATGGGGAGAATGAGCACTTACTCAGTTAGAAGCTGATGCAGTTTGTGATAACCTCGCTCCAAAGCCAAGCTCACAGGTGTAGCCCCTTCCTGGTTGTGGACGCTCAGAGCTCCACGGCCACCAGGTTTCTGTAATAGGAACCAGGTCAACCGCAGCAGTCCCAGCCGCACAGCAAAATGCATCAATGTCTCCCGGGGACCACCATCTGTAAACGAAGGAGAAGGTGGAAATAAGTAAGAGCACAGCAACAATGACAACAAAAGGCAAGTTAGATAAGCACCTCTGCCTCCAAGTGCCTCTGATCCTGAAGTAGGCTACAACTTTATCATGGCCAATTATAATTACCTCTGAAAGACAAAAACAAAATTAGAAAAATAAAAGGGAACCACAATCTTCAGTAGCAGACAGTCATACAGAAGGGAAGCCATTTCTGTATTGTGACTTAACATTTGTTCAGCATCACGAGGAAGTTTATAAAGGTGACTCCATATGTTATTTTCCTCTTTAAAAAAAAAAGTGAATGCAGCCCTGAAAAATGGGGACCCAAACGGAACAGTTGTTAGGACTTAGATGAGTGTATTATGAAGGGTAAAATTACTTCAGGAGTCGGCCGGTTAAACACCAAAAACAGGTTCTACTTGTTAAGTACACACAGGTCTTTTATTCCTCCATATGAAGGACATATCAAACTGCTGGCACTTCCAGCCTTTGTTTGCATGTTCGATGAGAAAAGGAAATGCATCTTCAACCATAATAAAAAAGACTGACTCTTAAGACAATAAATACACTAATAACTTTACAAAGGAAATATGCTTAAGCTTATTTCACTTGAAATGAAGGCTCCTCCTTGGTATATGAGTCACTCTGAAAGCAGTGGAATGAGGAAGGGCTCTGAAGTCAGGCGAATCTGGGTGCAAACTTGTTATTTACCATTTGTATGAGCTGGCAAGATTCATCTGCCAAGGCTTCGCTTTCTTTGTACCCAGAGTTGGATACCATCATGTCACTAAGAGCTGTAACAAGTTAAGGGAGATAAGTGAAATCCTAGCCTAATGACTGGCTGTTGTTGGTACTCATTAAGGTCAGTTCTTTTCCCTTTCTCTGCTCTCTGTCCTATCCTCCTGGACTTCAAATTACATTTTAGGCTCACCAGTAACACACTTTCTTCCTCAGCCATCCTCTTGAGCCTAACCTGAGAGGATAAGAACCAAGGTCTCTAAGGGCTGCTGGATGTGACCCCACAACCCAATTCCAAGAGGTGTGCCTGACTTCTCTGCCTAGCTTTCATTTCTCATTCTTCATGGTTTCCCTCAGGTCTCAACTTCTTCACCAAGCAGACTTCTTGGAGACCAGTGTTTCCCGACTTTGACATCTCCAGGTGCTTCTCTGTGTGAATGTCAAACAGAAATGAACACATCTTTGAAGCTGTGATTTTACACTGAACTTCACTATTTTCATGTTACCGGTACATTGGTGCAGTTTCCTTATTTTCAAGGTCAATTTCCTGGGAAACTAAACTGACCTTTCATATTTTATATTTTCCCTACAGGACTATTTAGAATTTATAGAAAGTTCAAGCAGAGGCATAAAGCGGGAATGAAATCATACCCCAGGGGCTAGGGATGCAGCTCACTGATACAACACATGCCAAGCATGCACAAGACCCTGGGCTTGAATCTCAGGAGCACAAAAACAAAACAGAAATCAATACCCCAGGAGAAATGATAATGTGTGTACAGGTACAAATTTTAATAACACCTATGAGAAGGTGGCAAGGAAAGAAAAAAGGGCAGAAAGAACACTCACTCACAAAAGATCAAATATCATCATCTAACTTGTGCTTATAAGCATTCTGACATCATTAACAAAAACTAAAGAGGAAATATAGGTATGTGATTTTTTTCAGGACTAGTTAATTACAGACTTACTGAGTGATGCCTCCTTAAAGAAGCATTCCCTTTGCTCCTCCTCCCTTTGGCCCCTTATTTGTTCTGAGTCAGCTTCATGTTTATTAATACAGTTCCAACAATAAGACTACATACCTGCTTAGAACATCACACCTTGATTCCTGCACTATACCCCTCCCCATGCCCCATCTCCCACTCTCCATCTAATGCTGAAGTCCTTAGCAGTAGGTGCCATCCCTGACTACAGGTTGACTGTTTCTGCAGACAAGAGAAGAAAAGTAATACAACAGGAGAGCCTGCTACACAGTCCACCTAGTGGGCTATGTAGTTTATCTCAACCTTTTCCCTTTGGTCTTTACAATAACCCTATGAGAATTCATTATCTTCATTTTGCAAATAAACACAGGTTCATAGAATAATCTACCCAGAGTCTGAATGAGAATTTGAAAATTCTCTATCTAAATGTCATAGTCTTTCCATAACTCCATGCTGTCTCCACAGATTCATATACAAAAGCAAGTTAATGGTGTGGTTTTAAAAGCAGCCTTTTAAGTTTACTCTTAATTTACTATTTCAAATGTATATATAAATAAAAAGAACTATATAACAAATAACCAAATACAGGCCTAGGTCCTACAATTAATGTTTTGCTATATTTGTTTTATCACATTATCTATTCAGCTAGCCTTCTGGAGGTACGTTTTTTTTTTGTTTTTTTTTTTTGAGGGTCTTGCTATGTACTTCACTGAACTCCCAACAACCCTCCTGCTTCATCCTCCCAAATGCTGGATTACAGGCATGTGCCAACATGCCTGGTTCCAACTATTATCTCCTGTATATTTTTGTCAATCCATCTTATTTGTATGCATTTCAAAGTACGCTGGAGGACAAGAGCGTACCTGGCATCAGTATTATATGATTAACTAGAGTTCAATACATGGTTATAGTTTTAGGTGATTTATAAAGAGTGTTACAAAAATAGTATACTATTTGATAAATTCTGACAAGTGCATATACTGGTTTTAAACACTAATCAAAATATAGAACATTATCACCACCAAGGAAGTTGCTTTATGCCCCTTCCTAGTTGAACCATCTCATTTCTAGAGTTAACAACTGTTCTGAATTTTTCACGATAGAGTGGTTTTGCCTATTCTGAAAGCTCATTGAAATGGAATTATACAATAGATCCTCTTGGGTAAGGCTTCCTTCATTTATCATGTCTGAGATTTATTCATAATACTATGTATCAGTAGTGTATTCCTTTTTATTGTTAAGTAGTAGCTCATCCTGTGTATATATTCCAGTCTATTTATATGTTCTCCTGTTCATTTTTCACTTATTTTAATTTGAACTTCACAGAAATCATATGAAATAGGTCTCAAGAAGAGGCCAAGGTACAAAAACAAATGAATACATAAATGGAGTTTCTTCTGATTAATCTTTTCTTAACAGCATAAGCATTTTAAGTAAACATTACTACATGTTCCACATTACTTTTGTTTGTTCTGTCTCAGTTTAAACTGCAGAGTACCATAACCATCTCTAGTCATTCTATATTTTCTCTCATGGTTCCTGATCTTTTCCTGAGTTAATGAACTTTGTTTTTAGATCATATTAACTGGGTCTTTGATCCTACTATGTACTTAAAACTTCTGCTGTGGAATTTTTGTATGTCCCAACCACATTTCCATCAACCTTTCCATCTTTACCTCCTTGGCTTCTTCTGTAGACATAATTAAAGTTCCTTATCAGCTGGCTTTGTAAGGGCGGTGTATCCTGAATAATATGGGTAAGCCCTCACTGAATCAGGTGAAAGACTATAAAATGTAGAGCTAAAAAAAAAAATAGATATATACGTACACACACACACACACACACACACACACACACACACACACACACACACACATATATAAATAAAATGGCAGGGCTTAGCTTTCCCCTGGAGAGTAGCAATTTCACCTGTGGAGGAGAGCCATAGCCATAGCCTGTGCCTAAGGAGTTTCAATCCTGCACAGGATTTCTTCTTCCTCACCATCTGAGCTTTGGTAGGTTTGGCTTTGCTCATGATCTTCCCATTCCTGCCCCATACATTTCAAACTTACTTAGCCAACCTCCACAATGGAGAAAACCATGTTAACCTTAAGACATTTATTTTTCCTATGTTTGACTTGTCTAATTGAACTCTGACTGAACCTGTTTTTCTCTTCTCTAATTTCATTATAGACCTGACTTCTTCAATCTTTTGAAGAACAAATGAAAATGATCTTCTAAATACTTAGGATAATTTTCTCTTTCCTTTGTCCTACCACAGTATTTCATAGGACACATAATGGTTGGTTTTCCTGTTTAAATTAACTGGAAAGATCTCTACAAAGGCCTAGCTTCTACCCACAGAAAACATAAATATATAATGTCTTAAATTACTTATATGCAGGATACAACCTCCCACATACACCCCCCCATCTGTAAGGAAATTATATGCCTTTAAAGCATTTAACAATGATGAGCCTGCTAGAGGGTTGTATCTTTTTCAAACTGTCAGATTCTCCAACTAAACAAAACATCAATGATGTAAATAATCAGTTTGCTTGCAGTATTTTCCTTCCCCATCAATCTATGCAGTAAGCTCTTCTCAGAGTTCTTTTTGAACTTGAGATTCCAAAATCAACTTTCTTTCTACTATTCTCTACTGCCTCTTAAACCTGAAGTCACACATGATGTAGGACTTTGCATATTACAGGTGAAAGGAAAATATTGTTAACAGGGTAGTGTGAGAAAAATGAGACAATATATAATGGAGTATCATTCAATCATAAGAAATAATATTAACATTATGTTATTTGCAGGAAAATGAATTGGACTGGAGATTGTCATGTTAGCAAAATAAGCCAGACTCAGACAAGTATTACAAATTCTCCCTAACATACAGGATCAAAGGCAGGCAGGCAGGCAGCAGTAATCTCAGCTACTTAGAAGGCTAATAAAGTAACACTGCAAGTTCCATCCCAGCTTGGAAAACTCAGCAAGACCTTATCTCAAAATAAAACAATTTTTAAAAGGGAGGGGGGAACAACTCAGTTGAAGGCAAGCCCAAGGCTCTGGATTCAATCCCCAAACTGGAAGAGAAAGCATGAATGAACAAACGAACAAAAGACTGATGGATGGATGGAAAGGAGGGAAGAAGAAAGGAAGGAAGAGGGGGAGAAATGGGGAAGGGGAGGAAAGAAAAGGAGAAAGAGGACAAAGTATAAGGGAGACTATTAGATAAGAGGAAAGGAATGAGAGGTGGGTATGGGGGTGTATACAGTACAGTGGAGGGCAAATGGGGGGCAAAGTATATTATATGGGTTTATGAAAATTCCACAAGGAAACCCAGAATTTTATAAAATATGCCCTAATAAAAATGTATATGCTGGAAAAATCAAAGTATAACAGAAAAGAATAAAGAGACTTCTGACTCTGACAAAACCAAGTTTTAAGAGGTAACCTTTAGATTTGTAGCCCTGCAGCTGCTAGGCCACTGCTAACCGTAAGAGTCAATGGTTAATAATCCTTTGCCAAGAAAAAAATTTCATGAAGTCTTTTCATATGTTATTATTTTCTTCTTTAGCAGGAATGATACACACACACACACACACACACACACACACACACAGAGGAATGAAAAAATATACAAACACTAGTACACTTAAGGAAAAATCTCCATGTGAAACTATCAAACACTGGGAACTAAATTATCAAATGATTAAATCTAAGGACCTACAACCAAAATCAGATACATAAGATACATACAGACAGTTTTTAGTGCAATCTTTCTTAAACCTGTCCTTTCACCACCCAATCTAAATTTCTCTTTGTGGGAAGGATCCCCACCCCCAAAGAGGATCATATATTTTAACTTTCTTATACAAACCATGACTACATAAGAATGAAAATTCCACCCAAGATGTTTCTCCAGATGCTTTCTCTACAGCAAGTCTTTAACGTGCCCACTCTAAGCTACCTGAGAGCTAACCTGATCTCTACTATACACCAGTCTGTTAGGGAAAATCCAACCAATTCACCATTCTCACTAACTGCTGGAGCACTAAAGAACTGAGAAAACTAAGTGAGAGCTGGAAACTCAGAAAAGGAGAAAGTCTTTTTGTCTCACCACTCACCCTTTGCCCAGATAAATCCTCATTACCTTTATTTAAGGCAGGGCTGTGTCAAAAAGAACAGTGTAGTGGATTCCTCATACAAATAGGGATTAGGAAATACGTGGAGAAACTAAAATAGATGAACACCCTAACCTGAGATGCATACTAAGGAGTCCTCAAGCCTAAACTGAGGATTCCTTGAACAACCAGTAACAATATAAGAAAGGCCACCTTGTTCTCCTTTGCAGAGTCTTCCTTTTAGACCTAGCCTGTCTTCCTTCACGGAATGTATCACCATCCCTTGTCATAGCTTTACCAATGTTTTGTGCTTCTAAAAGTTTACCAGATATCATATTATTTTTGAAATGACTGGTTTGCAAACTAGCACTATACTTTCTTCTATTTTATAGAAGAGGAAACTGAGTAACAGTGATGTAATATTTTCCACAAATGTTGCAATGGAACTTGATAAAATGCCTGTACTTTTGCTATTTTAAAATATCAAATCTAAAGCAAGACTTCTTAGCTTCATGTTCACTCTTGAAGTTCAGGGACACTGTAAAATTTACCACACATAAATGTTTGCCAGTAGGCACCTCTATCTGTGTGTGTGTGTGTGTGTGTGTGTGTGTGTAAGTAGTAGGATGAAAGCCCGTAAACATTCTAGCTTTCCAAACATAAATGTTTGCCAGTAGGCACCTGTGGGGGTGTGTGTGTGTGTGTGTGTGTGTGTGTGTGTGTGTAAGTAGTAGGATGAAAGCCCATAAACATTCTAGCTTTCCAAAACAAATACTTCTCAAAAAAAATTGTTTTTATGTACAAGTACCAAAAAAAAAAAGCAAGTAGTTCTCTTAGCTAACAAGGTATTCTAGTTATCTGTACTGTTATTCTAGGCACCAAGCTTACTTCACAGTTTTTCCTTTAAATATCTTTTTTAAAGTAAGTGGCGTGAACAGAATATTCCATATTTGAACCCTCAATTGTAAACATAGCTTTACTCTTCCCTGATTATATCCAGTCTTGATAAATTCTAATCCACAACTAAAGAAAATAATCTAAACTATAGAATGCAAATCTAACACTTGAAACCAGATCCCAACTGATTAACTTTCAACTTGCAAAATATATGCCAAATTCGTTCCAATACTTTTATCAGTTATTATTTCAAATTCATATACAATACAGTTCACTTCTGGCAGGTACACAGTCCTGTGTATCTTAACAGATGCATAAATTCTTACAGCCATTAACACTAACAAGACACCAAATTAATTCCAACACCGCCAAAGAATGTACAAGAGTCTCCTTTGCAGCCAGACTTTTCCCCCACTCCCAGTTCCTGGCAGCTACTGATCTGGGCCTTTTCTAGAATATCAAATAAATGGAACCATATAGTACATAACCTTTACAAACTCTGATTTTACACAATCAATATTAAATGCATCCAAGTTGTTGAGTCTAGTATTCCATAATATGGTTATTTTTGTTCATATATTTCCTCCAATGGGGCTTTAGGTTGTTTCCATGTTGATGATTATAGACAAATTTGCACACAGATTTTTTTGGTGAATATGAATTTTCATTTCTCTAGGATAAATACTCAAAGTGGAAACTGTGGAACTCCTCCAGACTAGCTATACCACTATGCATTCCCATCAGCAACGTGTAAGATGTTGTTCTGCATTCTTGCCAGCACTTGGTGCTTTTTAATCTTAGCCAAGCTAGTGTGTAAAGATAAACATATTATGGTTTTAATTTGCACATTACAGTTTAAATTTGTGTATTTCACAAAAGTGGTCACAGTTGGTTCAACCTTTGCTAGCACTACTTGAGCAATTTTGTATAGCAGAAACTAGGAGTGTACTGAAAATACAAAAAAATTCAAACTTTCCCAGCTTCTATTAAAGACAGTGAGGCTAAAACCCAGAGAAGGAAAGTGATATACCCAGAGTTTCTTGGACCTCTGCTTTTTCCACCAGTTAAGTCTTGAGCCCCCTTTAAACCAAGCAAAACAAAAGCATAGAAATTCCATAAGCTCCTCAAATAACTAATGCTGTTCCACCTTGATATGATTTGTAAATACAGCCAGACAATCACTTGTATATCAATATAGAAATAACAGGAGCTACAGGAATTAGGACTCCTAATTCAACAGCCAGATTATCATTTGCATATGATTATACAAATAACAGGAGCTACAGGAATTAGAACTCATAATTTGGTTTCTAAATAGGTACTGAATGACAAATATTCAGATCTTGAGATCATAGCAATACAGAAGTCTCTAGGACACTATATAATAAGGAAAAAAGAGAGTGTTTGCTTCTTGGATTAGATTTCATGGTCCACATTTTCTTCATATTTACCTGTTCGAGTCTGTGTTGGTATCTGATTGTGTGCCTCTCATACTACGGGACACCATGAATTTGAGAATGACTCAACACTGCTATGTAAGAGAGGAGGAACTGAGCATGCCCTGGCTGTTTCCTTTGGGTCTTCTTCAGGAGCTGCTCATTTGTAGAAAAGGGGACTGCTAGTCAGCTTGCCCTACATAACATAATAATCATAGCTGTGTGGACTCTAGATCAGTTACATGACTATCCAGTCTTACAGAGATGAAGTAGAAAGTATAAGCAAATCCTTGTGACAGGACCTATAAGCTCAAACTTCCAACCTAATTTTCATCAGTATTAAAGCCAACATTTTCATCTGTATTTGTGAGATTCCTAAATTTTTCAAATGGATGTGTACTTGGGAAAGAAATGTGTTGTTTATGCATGCCAGGTGTATCTTTTATTTAAAAATATACAGTGTATGTAATCCTGACATCTAGTAGATGTCATTTACAACAAAAATAATGATGTGGGAAAGCCCGTCTGACTAAGAATACATAAGTAGGTACTTATTACCTCAGTGTTTCTTTTATTTAAAAAACTCTTCTTATATGGAGGGCTAGTAGAGAAAATCAGTAAGAGTGAAACCACCCTGGTTAAAGAATTATGGGGTTTCTCAAAGCTTATTTTGCGCTCATGTTTCCCTGATGCACTCTCCAACTGTTACTTTCCTCTAACACCAAAGAAGCTCTAGACAATTTCAGAACATATTAATAAAAATCCTGTCTTTGATAACTAAACATGAAGAGGTTACTCTCCTCGTGTGAGAACAAGTCTGAAATCCAGACTCATAGAAAGAAATGCCACTTTCTATGTGGGTATTTCAGTCATTTCTGTGGAAAAACAACTTAACAGCTCAGTGGAACAGATGCCTACAAGGCCACATTACTAGAGTAAACCTACGATTTATTCAATCACTGTGGAAGTCATAAATATAGCATCATCATATAAAAACAACCCTATACAGAAACACAGGTGTTCCAAATAAAAGTTTTTTGTGAGTTATATAAATTCTCACCATGCAAAGTCTGATCTGTCCCCAAAACATTCCACTCTGCTGGCAGCTTCAGGTGTCTGAAAGCCAGTGAAACCTTCTCATCAAGGGAATTCACATCCTTAGATGGTGGTCCTGAATGGTCAAGGAAACGAGTGAAGTTCAGAGCTTGTTGGTTTCCAGCACTGGTTGCCAGGAACTGAGCTGCATCATATGCCTCATCCTGCACAAAACGGAAGTCTTCCTCAGCCACCACAAATGCAGGAAGGCCCTCCTTGGAAGCACAGAGCTGCACCTTCACTGTCTCACAGCAGTCATGACCTAAAGGAAGAACAGACCACAAAAAAATGACATTAAAGTTCCCTGATGAAAGGACAATGGTGAGTCCTCTTGGCTTTTTAAGACACACAAAATTTCTCAATTCTTCCTTCCGCTGAGTTCTGAAAGCATTTTTCTAAATGTCTTTAAACTGTTGGCAGTTTTTAAAAACTGTTACTTACAATGGTGAATTCATTCCCATACAAACAACAAGTAAACTGTTTCTCACTTTTCACCAGGTCTGTGACACAACATTTGGCAGAGAATAGGCTATCAACGCCAATTTCTGCTGCACTATTGTTCAATGTTACCAAATTTAAAAATGAAAGCTCCAGGATCCCATAAGGCCTAGCGTAAAATGGGAAGTCTAATACTTATTGAACTGAATTAGACCTGAAAAGGCAATAGGGAAAACTATCTCTCACATGAGAGATGTAGGAGGAATTCCACAGATTCCCCAACACTTGTCTTATTATCACTATGATACTATATTCATCAAGAGATGAAGCACTCTGAAAAATGCAAACCTAGGTGATTTTAACTTTACTATTATTAAGCAATCCAAGGCCTAAAAAATAAATAATAATTGTTATGCACTTTGTTGTTTTCTTTTTCAAAAACTAATAAAGCAAAAAATGAAATCATGAAACCATGTGTTTCACACATGGATGTGACGTTGTGGCTAGAAGTCCAGTTCAAGAAAAATAAGACTACGGTACCCATTGTACAGACCAGAAGGTACCTCATGATCTGTGACTTTAGGCAGCAACCTACATGCCTCGCCAAAGACCTCAGCTTGAATCAAATAAGGAAGATCTCACAACATCATCTTTCTGTGGGTAAAGTATTCTTGGGAGTAAGATTTTCTTCTAGATGTCTAGCTTTTCAGAATTAAATATCTGCAATGTGAAGAATGTATTCAACAAAAATACACTTTTTCTCAGCTTTCAAATACTGATCTCAACTAGCCAGAACCATGTCCCTCCGACTATCACTATTCTTCCCCATAAAATACCTTTTTTACAAGAAAAAAGAAAAATGAATTAGTGTGTTTGTTTTTGGAGTTATACTACTTCATGCTCTGCCTGATTCACTCATTGGCACCTGTGTATCCAACACATGTACAGACTGCTTTTTGGCAGTACAGCAATGCAGAGGGAACATGCTATTTGTCTATATGGTCTGTAAGTCTGCATTTCCTACATCCTCTAGACATAGGCCAGAAGTGGTATCAGACTCAGGTAGAACAAAGTTCTGATACCCTTGAAAGAGAAAATGTTTTTTCCATGTGTCCAACTAGAAGACTAAACTGACTTGTCAATGTACCTTTGTCCCAGGGTCCTCCTTCAATCCTTCACCCTTGTTACAAAAGAAATCTCTCACGATTCTAGGTTGTCAGTAAGTATTTACTAAGCAAGTACCTACTCCATACAAGGCATCTGACAAATCATATTCTCTATATAACAATTTTATGAGGTATATATTGTATTAACTTTATAGGTAAGTCTTGAGACTTTAAGAAATAAAATTACTTGTGTAAAGTTACACAGCTTAAAATCCATTATTTAAAACCAAAGCTGATGCCAAAGGACAGACTATTACACATCATGCTGCAGGGGATTCATGTCACACTGCTATAAACAGAGGAGGGAGGGTAACAGCTAAATCCTTGTCTGAAAGGAGTCTAACAGCTGGAATGACAGGCCAAAGTGACTGGTAAGCAAGAACAACAGGTTTATGAATCACCAAGATCAGTCTTCACACAAACATGTAACTGTCTCTCAAATATTCTCACTGCCTCCCAAAGGTGAATTCTATGAAGAATATTGAATGCTGAAGCTTCTTTTGCTTGATTGGTATGTCCATGCAACATAATGTTTGGATTTTTTACTTTGTTTTTTGTTCCGAGGATTGAACTCAGGCCCTTGCGCTTGTGAGGCAGGCAGTGGAACCACTGAAGTAAAACCCAGCCCAGTCGAATTTTTACATTTAACTTATGAAATTAAATTAGACTCAATCTTTCTTTAAAGGGAAGCCAGTCCAATTATTAGAAAGACATCATTATCAACAGAAACCAGTCAAATGACTCAGAGAACAGGTTTGGGTATTTTTCTTGTAGAAAGTGTTTCTTTTTAAATGTTCCTGTAACATCTGATTCAACTGTGCTCAACAACAAGCAGCAGAACTTCCACCAAGTTCAGACATCACAATTAGAAGGTAAAGATGAGTAAGGAAAGACTCTCAACCTTCTGTGCATTACAGCCCTTAGAGAGACTAAAACAAGCTGTAGTCTAAATGGAGTAAGCTTTGTAAGGAACACATACAGACGGGGGTGTCAGGAATACTGCAATTCATAGGTAAGAAAAATCAGGAAGTTTTCACAAAGGAGGAAGCAGCTAAAAACAGCCTTTGATGGGTACCCCAACCTTAAGCCCTCTAAACTGCAGGGATTCTTCTCTGCAGTCTTGAGAACATAAATATATTATCCTTTTTGTCTTTTCTTTTTTATTATTTAGCAGGCACTTCTATATACTTCCTATGTGCCATATACTATTCTCAGCGCTTTCCTCAGCACCCATTCATATACTTCTTGTAATAACCAGCAGGTAATGTCATCCTCATTTGCTGGATGAAAAGTATGAGGCGCAGAAAACATTAAGTAACTTGCCCAAGGTTATAAAGCTCTGACATGTAGAACTTGAAATCTGAATCCGAGTTTCACTTCTAGTGTCCACTCCACATACAATACTTATGGATATTTAAGAGGACTTAAACTAGGAAAAATAAGAGTATCATGAAAGACCAGTGAGAAAGGAATAAATACACATTCAAACTCTGGCTATGGCCAACAGATCACCTCTGCTGCTTCAGTGGACCTCATTCTTATCATTATAGCACAAAGGAGCAGTCTATTAAGTGCTAAGGCTTCCCTGCCTGTAAAAGCCAATGGGTCCTGTCAGGCAAAAAGCAGAGAGGGAGAAAAGATTAGGAAATGCTTTCAGGAAAAGGAAACACCACTAAAAACATAAAAATGTGAAGCAGAGCGTAAGCTCAAGGAATAGAACCATTACTATGAAAAATATTTTCAGGAAGGTATTATCTAGGCTACATCTATTGATTGATAGAAAAGATCTGGTTTCAAACCGATTTTCTTACTTATTAGCTGTGTGGCCTGAGACAAAAGACAACTTCTAATACTGTCAAATCTAAACAATCCCATAGCCTTGTAAGTAAAGAGCTAAAATTTGCAAGCCCCATTCCCCATTCTTTAGTACCATCACCCCAAATGACATGTAGCCTCACTTCATTTCCAAAGTGGGGGAGGACCTAATGTATTTCAGTCAAAAAAGTAAAGAAAAAAATGTGGCTCATGAATTGAACCAATAGTTGTAGCACTGTTTTATTTACTAGAATTAAACAAATTAATAAATTCTTGACAGTCCTCTGAAACAGAGGACTTACCAATCTTCCTCTCCAAACCTATGCAAAAAGGAATAACCAGAAGACTTGAATCAGAAAAGGAGTTAAAGTACACAAAAGTGAACATCATTAATTTATTTAGGCCATAAAATCATCTCTTCATGAAGCACAGTGAAAACCACAGTGAAGTAATGGCACTGATCCAGTTACAAATGAAGAAGCACATACTTAAGAATTTATGTGGAACAGCTAAAATGACTAGACTTGCCGCGCATGGTGGTGCACACCTATAATCCCAACACTTGGAAGGCTGAGGCAGGAGGATCGCTGCGAGTTCGAGACCAGCCTGTGCTACATAGTGAGTTTCAGGTCAGTCTCAACTACATGGTGAGACCCTGTCACAAAAAACAAAAAAATAAATAAAATAAAATAAAATAAATAAAATAAAATAAAATAAAATAAAATAAAATAAAATAAAATAAAATAAAATAAAATAAAATAAAATAAAATAAAATAAAATAAAATGACTAGACTTGGGGGTGAGAGAGTACAGGCAAACAAGGCGGTGAAAAACAGAAGGTGACTGCGGGGAATGTTGCTGGACAGCACAAGTATATTTATCTTTTTCTGCTGCACTGGCACAAGCATTTGATACAAGCAGGTGGAAGAGTATATATGTGAGCCTAGGTGTGATAGCACACATCTGTAATTTCAGCTACGCTAGAAGCTCAGGCAGAAGGATCATGAGCTGCATGGAGGCCAACTGGGAAGCTTAGTGAGCCCTTGTTTCAAAATTTAAAACAAAACAACAAACAAAAACAAAATATATAGGAATGATGTAGCACTAGGGTTGTACCTTAGCACTCCCTGAATTCAATCTCCACTGCCACCAAGAGAAAACAATAAAAGAAATACGAACAGCGTGTGGGTCATCTATCTGTGCATAAAGAAAAATGAAACTCTATATGAAGGAAGAAGAACATCAGACTGTGAAAGGCCATGAAACAGATATCTAAGGAAAGTCATCCAATTGTTACTCCATCTTTTCCCTTCAGACATGAACTCACAATTTGGAGGTGAAACTGAATCATTGTAAAGTAAACTGTGCCATAAATCTGGAATTTATTTGGTAAGATTACACTCTTGTTTTTCAAATGAAAAGAAGAGAGATTGAAACTTAAGTGTAAAACTGAGGGTTTCTTGGATAAATCTTCATCAAAGAGTAAACTGGAAGAGTTATTACTGATAAAGACCAAAGTACCTCACCTCTAGACCCTACTATCTGGAATTCAACCATACAAGGCTGGAAGGGCTACTGTCTTATACCAGTGTTTTCTATTAGGCTCAAATGGCTCTCAAGATTAGTTTTTAATCCCTATAACCTTTCAGATAAAGCAAGTAGGGGAAAAAGACATCCACAGTTTTTTTTTATTAAAGACTGTATAACTTAAGAGTAATAAAACTGTATCACTGCATGTGCACACATAAAACTTCTTACTACTGTAAATTAGCCCTAGAGACAAGGACTACTTGCAGGGGCCATGAGTCTTGACTGTGTACATAATGGATGCAGAACATTAATG